TCATCATCAGCATCATTTTTGGAAGAATGTAGTGCGAGGCACCTACACTGTTGTCGTCTGTATGAGAGTGTGGCTGATCTGAATGGTCACGTGTTCTAGTTGATACTTTTCTGGTAAGTGTTGATGTTGAATGACGTTTTGAAAGCTTTTCTTTACGTTCATTTTTCTTAATAATCTTTTTGTTTCAGGTAGATCAACACTTCCAATGCGACCAATTCTTCTGGTTCTCTGGACCAAGAGAACAAAAAGTTTCATTGGAATCAGGAAGTACTAAGGCAACTTTTCCGCACTATTACAAATCCCGAATCGAAAAAAGTCCGGAATCGACCCACCCTAATAGATATGTTCAATTAAGTTTTTATTCTAGGAACCAATTCTAAAATACATTCTAGCTCTGAAAAACAATTATTTTACTTTTGAGCTACAATTTAAACAAATACTTAAATCTAAGTGCTTCTGGACGTAATTTGTACATATGTATGTCAACAACCATCCATCAACATATCTGTTGCTTTTGAGAGTTCTCCTTTAGAAAGGTGATCCACCCAAATATAAAACGAACAATTTTCTCAATTCTCACAAATTTCGGGGTTGTCTTTACCAAGTTTGTGGCAAATGTACCCTGCCAAATTCTCAAGTCCGTCTTTGTTGAGAATCTCCAAGTCATCTTTTTTTCAATTGGGTCAGTGGAATTTAAATCAACTGACACACGTTGAAAAATATTACCTGCAAAATTATTATAAACAATAAATGGAATAAATTGTTAGTTAAGATTATTATAATAGTTAGGATAAGAAACAGTGGTTGGTATGCAAAAACTTAGTTTGTATGTAAGTACATATTTGTATTTGTTAACATCAATACATTTTTATATAAGAGTGTTTTCTGTAGTTTTAGGTTTATAAGACTATGTACTTTTAATATTTTGATAATTATCGTTTAGAGATAAGTAATTCCATTCCAAATCTGGGGTATTGCCGACTTCAACATTTCCTTCATCTGTAATCGCTCCTTCGTTGTGACCAAATATATAGGAACACAGCCTATACTTGAAATCCTTCCTGTCAGGATGATTATGAAGACCGCCTTTTAACCTGATTACGCCAAACAAATTTTCTAAAACGTCCTGGTTTAAATGAGACTCAATCCTTTTCTGCCGTTCATTAGCCTCTGCAGGAGCAGTGGTTAACGTGTGAAAGCTGGGTAGCAACTTCGTTGGATTCCGCGAGCTTAAACCTGCAAGTGTTTGGTTATAAAAGTAAAATTATTGTAATAAAATGATATAATTTCCCATTTCAAACAGCAAATAGCTTTCAAAGGCTTCTGGAGCGAAGAGCACATGGCAAATGCACTCATTTTTAACATTAAATTTGTCCGCCCGACGACAAAAATTAATCCATAGTTTTATTATTGTTTTATCCTTAGGGGTATGGAAAAATCTCCACTTCGTAGCAGTATTTTTAACATTGTTATTATTGCATCCGAACACTGCTCAACGCATTTTAAAAAATATATAACTTCACAATTTATACTACAATTCGAATTCACATTTAAAGGCGCGGGCAAATAATAAGCAAGAGCAGCTGACTGAAAGCAAACATGCGCATTGCGTAATCTCTTTCTCTATCATTCTTGAGGGTTTATTGATATAAATGAAATTAATTACAAAAAAGTTAAAGTTTATGCGCTGAACACAATGAGCGCGACAGACTGCTGCAGCACGACAATGAACTGAAAATGACGTTGTGAATCTTCTACATGAACATTTGTGAGAAGGCAGCAACATAACAATGGCCGGCATGTACACAAGACAATACAGCTCTCCATTTTGTATATACACAATTTCGTTGTGGCCATACTAATACCTTGCACTTCAATGAAATTTTAATATTTTGTTCAAAGTGACATTTTTTATCAAAAAATAAGTAAGTAGGTAAATTTATTTTTTTTTAATTATCAATTGTTATTACATATTATATAATACAGCTATTTATGCTTTTATTTGTAAAGTAACGTCTGGTTTGTTAGAGCTTTGAAGAATTTCACATTTTTCATATTAGTGGCATCACCACTCTACCTCAGCTCTCTATTGTCGTCCTACTGTTTTTGGCAAATATAAAAATATATTGAAGTTAGCGACATCGACAACTGTCGATCTGCAGTCGTGTAGTCCGACAGCTGTCAAAATAACTGTGTCCATGAGAACGTGTGTATTTTAATATTTGACAGATGTCGTTTGCAGTCTGTAGCGCTCATTGTGTTCAGCACAGATCGACAGGCTAAAGTTTATGACATACTAACTGTCGAATATATTGCTATTGCCATTGCCAAATCTGTATATGGGCATTTGTTATCATAATATAATCATTTGCGAAAAGGCGTCGGGTAGGTTCGCGGTTATGTAGCATATTAATTGAGCTCTTGAACTGTTTAAATTTTTATATGGATGAAAAAATCTATGTTGAAAAATAAAAAAAATTTATTTTTCTACAAATGTATTTCTTGAAAAAAAATTTGTTTTTTCATATTTTCGGACTATTATAATTGTAGCACAAATTTTATATACCAATTATTAAAATAATAAATTTAATATGAGCAACGATATTTGTATTTGTGCTTGTAAAACTTTATTAAATTTAAATCTTCGCCAATCCATTTTGTGTACTTTTTCCGCAAATTAACAATATGAAACTAAATATTACTTTTTTGGAAAAATATGTTAAATTGTTTTGAAAATGTACTTTATTTTTATAATTAAACACAATCATAACGTAACGTTGCGAGGTAGGCAGACTGTCTTCTCTCCACTGCGACACAGCACTCCTCGTCGTACCAGCTGTTCTTTTGCATTTTCCGAAAGCTAATGGTTTCATATAATCATAAAAAACGATTTAAGTAGTTTCGCCATATATTAAAAGTGCAATAAATGATAATTTGCAATCGTAATAAATGGTGGGTGTTTTAATTTAAATTTCAAAAAAATTTTATTTCGTTCGATCTGGCAATAATGGAAAATTTTATAAAACACGCCTATTTCTAGGCCCTCTGACACTGGAATAAGTTGGGCATCCCATGAGTGTGGGCAGTGGAGTGTTGAGTGGAAATATATTTCGAAATGACCTGTCGGCCGATAGCCCATGATGCTAGTGCTGCGTATTTTCTTAGTTTGTATAATAATTGTATTATTATGTAAGCTTTTATAAAATAAAAAAAATAAAAAAATTTTTCGAAAAACCATACTGAACGAATTCGGAGGGAAATTAATATTTTTCGTGTTAAGTTTTCTTTGGATCAGAGAATATGTTGAATCGCACTCGTAAGTAAAGATATTATAAATAGTGAAATTATGTACCTAAACCCTGCAGAGATATGTAGTTCAGTTTTTGAATATTCCAGTTATAACCCGGCTTCTATTGTACGTTGAAGCATATCCAACTTTGGTCAATGAAAATGACTTTACCAATTTTTACAAAAGTTGATATAGGTATATACACTTACTTACTACTTTGTTACTTTGATTTCCGCTGGTTAAAGCGAACTCCTAAATATTTATTCTTTCTTTCTTTATCAACGGTAGACCGAAGATTCTTTCCCACGACAGTTAGGTCTATGGGACCAGAAACGGATTTTATTCGGTTATGAGCTGTCAATTCGGCAGAATTCTTCAAAATTTTTTTTTGTCACAACATCAACAACAAACTTCTCTTTATCGGAAGATCTTCTTAAAAATTATAACAATAACTTTAATTTTACTAAATACATTACAATACTAATTTTTTGTACTTCATTCGGTTATTTTAAAATCGTTATTTCGTAATTGCATATCTGTATTTTCATATATGTCAAGATTGTACCCAGCGTTCGAGTTGTGTAAAATTCTGACGTTCGGATCATCTGTCAGAATTTTAATTTTTTACCATTTAGCACGCAGCATTTCTACCGTTTGGGCTAATAACGATATGCTAGTTTTGTTTATAACTGGCAATGCTAAGTAAATTAAGAAATTGGCAACGCGATCTTGGTAGTGCCAATTGGCACATCTTCGAAACGAACAAAGAGCATTTGCCGGCATACCATGTAATACTATGACTATTTCTCTTGCACTTTTGTATGCCTAGTCCTTTGTGGAGTTGCAAAAATTAGCAGCAACAACGCTAATACTAATAGTTCAAACAATAGATGGAAGGAAAAGTAAAGAAGCAGATAGCGTAAAAGCGAACGAATAAGTGGAGAATCAGAGTTACGGAAAAAATCAAATAGTTAACTCTTGCCTGGTATCTGCCTGATATTCGCTTCTAGAGGAACTTGACAATTTTCTTAAATAAATTTGAAAACAAGTTTAATAAAGGGATTATATCGGAAAAAATTATATAAAACAGAAAGTATTTTGGAGAACGACGGTCGCGAGACGCAGTGATTCTTTATTAAGGCAAGTATCAATTAGTAAATACAAAAATATTAGAGGGCTGTGTAATAAAGAATTCGTAAGTTTATTCGTAACAAGTGTATTCTGTTTTCTTTTTTCAATGTATGTGCAAAGTTGTGTTGAGTGAAAGATATTTAAGATAAATTTATTTCGGGTTGATCAAATTGATAATGGATGTTACAATATTTTAGTTAAGAAATTTGTTTGGGAAGGAATTTTCACTTTATTATGTGGTTCTTTTGCGATGGTTGCAATACACATATACGAATATGGCAGAGCAATTTCTGGCAGACAATGCAGTTAATTAAACATCTTGCATTTTTTTATAATGTACTTTTTTATTTTGGGAATCATTGTCCGAAACATGATTTAATTTTATAGCAGCAATTTGTCGTTCCACGCATTTTAGTGTGCTGCTTCTTTTTTTGTTTCATTATTAAATTCCCAAAATGGCCGCTGAGTCAGTCTACGTTTGCTATTCTCAACTTAATACGAGAGAACCCAATATCCTGAAAGTAAAACTTGCAGCTCTTCACTCATAATATGTTCATATTTGAAATTTCTTTATTTTTAGGTCACTCGCTTTGCACCGCATATTTGATCTCAGTAATTCATCAGTAATTAATATATTGTGTAAATAATACCAAATTAAAAACAAAAAAACTTAAATAACGATTCCATCATGTCATCAACATCGGCGGCAGGTGGCAGTAGTGGTGCAAGCACTGGAAGCTCAGCGACAGCCGCCGCTACCACACCTAACGCTAGTAACAGCATGCACTCCAACAGTGGCCGAGGTCGAAATAGCAACACTGCAGGATCCAATGCTACAAATTCCGGCGCAGGTAGCTCGAATGCCAATCTCAACAATGTTGTAAACAGTGCTGCATCTGCTGCTGCAGGTTCTGGAACAGGTGAAGAAACGCGTAAAGATCCCAAACCAAATCCAAAAATTTCCAAAGCACTGGGTACCTCAGCTAAGCGTATTCAAAAAGAATTGGCTGAAATTACACTGGATCCTCCACCAAATTGCAGTGCTGGGCCAAAAGGAGACAATCTCTACGAATGGGTTTCAACTATATTAGGACCGCCGGGATCGGTGTACGAAGGTGGTGTTTTTTTTCTTGATATACATTTTTCACCGGAATATCCATTCAAACCTCCTAAGGTGACATTTCGAACACGTATCTATCACTGCAATATAAATAGTCAGGGTGTCATATGCTTGGATATTCTCAAAGATAATTGGTCACCAGCGTTGACTATATCGAAAGTTCTACTCTCAATTTGTTCCCTGCTGACTGACTGTAATCCTGGTAAGTTAAAATATAAATTTTATTTTACTTTCGCTAATGAAAAAATATTTATAGCGGACCCCTTAGTGGGCAGTATTGCCACTCAATACTTGCAGAATCGTGAAGAACACGATAGAATCGCTCGACTTTGGACAAAAAGGTTTGCCCAATAACGGGCAACAAATGTTTTTTATACATTTAATTTAACCTAATTTTTTACAGATACGCAACATGATTTCCTAATCTTGTAAGTCCCAACATTAAAATAAAATATAAGCAACAGTAATAGAAATCTAAAAATAATGGCTGCAGAAAAAATAAAAGTTAATAATAATTCAAGCAATTCAAGCAAAACGAATATTTGCGAACATCCTGCAGGTGAATGATAATGGTAAAAGTTATACGTTTAAAAGGAACTTAACTTTCCAAATTATGTTTAACACTATCTAATATTATATTAGCAACTAATTATAAAAACCATAATATAACAAAATATCAAGCAGATATTGGATAGGGAACGGCGATAGAGAGGGTATGAATATTTTCGATCAAATTTATTTGCAAGTTCAAATCATAGTACTTTTTCTGTAGTGTTTTTTCCATGAAATGATGAAATAAAAATATCACGAAATCGGTATGAAATCATATTTTATTTTGTGTAAAAAATAAGCTAAATAATTGCTATACATCTTACCAATAAGTAATAGATGAACCAAAACTGCTGATTCGATGTCAAAATAAAAATCATAACAAGAAAAGCTGCTAGATATACACAATTAAACAATACACAACTTAAGATAATATGTAGAAGCTAATAAATCTGTTCGATTGATTGTATTGTAGCATCGGAACTGAGAAGCAGGTGACAAATCCTTGTCTTTAAATTGTAAACATAATCGCGAGCATCAAATAAAAATTATATAAAAACGCTCATACCATTAATATTATTTGATGTTTTTTATATTCCCGCAACGTTTCCACAGAAAGAATAGTTTAGTTCAGGGTTAGTTTTAACACTTAAAACTAATCGAGATGGATACAACTTTAATATATTAGGTTGTCAAAAAAGTCTTCGATATTTTCGCTAGTTGGCGCTGAGAGCGCGTAGTTCTAGTTTTATTTGTCGCATCGGGTCATGCTATACATTTTTGGAAAGCTCATTTCACGCGCTAACACGTTTGATTGATTGTCGTCTCTTTAAGTCGTTCGTGAGTTATGGCGTCGCAAACATGGAGCAAAATAAAGAAAAAACGGCATACTTTACAGTACTATTACGATAATGGCAAAAATGCATCCAAGCCGTCAATAAAATTTGTGCAGTTTATGGACCCGATACAGTTTCCATTTCCACCGCACAACGCTGTTTTCAACGTTTTCGTTCTGGTGTGGTGGTCGAAGATGCGCCACGCTCCGGAAGGCCTGTCGTCGAAAATTGCGATAAAATTGCTGAATTGGTCGAAAGAGACCGGCATAGTAGCAGTCGTAGCATCGGTCGAGAAGTGGGCATGAGTCATCAAAAAAATTTTATGAACAATTGAAAATTCAATAAAAATACCGCAAGACTTTTTTGACAACCTAATATATAAAATTTATTAGGATGACGAAACCAATTAAATTCCGAATGTCAGTGTAATATCTTTACTTGATTGTACACGTTGAGGTGTTAGACATTGCAGATGAGCACCAGCAAACAAATTTTACCACTACAAAATGCTGTTAAGCAAAAACGTAAAAAGTTCTGCTACTGAATTGGTTGGTTTGTTGCAGAAGATCATAATTGGGAGTGGGATCTGTGAGTTCAAATTTGTGTGGAAAGTGGGTGTGACCTTGACCTGGACTTCGGACGCAACTGACTTTCGACAGGTACTGACYGCCATTCACAGTGGAGCCATCAACACCTTCACCGACTCCCTTCCCGTGAATGGCGTTCTTGGAGGCAAACCACCACCTATTGCAGACGAAGAGCTCCAGTTGCCGCGAGAAACGCGAGGGACCCCAGCGCAACTTCGGTCTGGATATTGTAGGAGGTTAAACTCCTACTTATCCAGAATTGACCCAGACATACCCAATATATGTCCTGCATGCAAGAAGTCCTCGCATGATACTGGCCACCTCTTTGCATGCCCTACAAAACCCTACTCATCTAACACCCCCTTCCCTTTGGTCCGACCCCGTCGAAACAGCACGTTTCCTGGGCCTTCCGTTAGATGATCTCGACGACAGCACAAATGAACCTTACCACCCAAACGGAGATTAGATAACCGTTAAAACAACAACATGTCGTCGGCGTAATTGATCTCTTGATGTTCCTAGCAGGCGGTTCCGCCCCAAGCATGTTGCTGCAGGTGGTTTTTGCCAAAACATCCCAGCAGGACCTGCCTGGATGCCTGGGCAGGTCTTAAAATGGCTCCATCCATTGCATGTATTATACAAAAAAATTTAAGGAAAGAGAAAAAATGAAAGCGGTTATGGATCCTAAAGCTTTATAAGCAGAAATGTTCTGGGATGATATCTCGGTATTTCACAGCTTTTGTGGCCCCAAAAAAAATTGCGACAAACTTTTACAAAAGCCACTTTGCTTTATCTATGAGCTTGCTTATAGTATATGGACTTACAAAAATTAATTTTTTTTAATTTTCTGTCACCCATTCTAGGAAATTTGTTTAGTGAAATTAAAAGAATTATTTGAACAGAGTTTTACAAAGCTTTTTATGAGTCCTCACTTTGTGTAAAGTGGTAGCTGAAAAATGTAAATTTTTCAATTTCAACTAATTCTTGTAAAGTTACAGCGAATACTGTTGTTATTGTTATAGTGAAAGAGATGATGCTCCTTGGTCGGATAATAGTTCGGGACTGTTCCGATTACTTAGACCATGAGAACGGCATTCACTGTTCATACGCATTTGCAAAAATTATATTTCTTTTTTTCTCGTAGAACTCTTTTGTAATCATTTTGATGCACTAAAAATATATAAAAAAAACAATCCACAAAAGAATATTCCTATTGAAATATGAGCCAACTAGAATAAATATGCAGTAGGAAAATCATATTTATGCCATACTTTTTTAAATATCAAATTGTATTTTATACGAGCATATCCCATATTATCGAATATTTTAGGTAGAACTGTGAAATCATGAAACTATTTTGTACTTCATTATGCGCTACTCTTGGAAGTTTGTAACACCAAGAAGAAAACGCCGGTGACCATACATATATATATAGTACATATATGTAATTATATAAATGATTAGCATGACGAGTTGAGTTGATTTAGCCGCGTCTGTTTACCAGCATATACGCGAGCTAGTCCCATCCTTTTCTGCCCAAGAGGCTGCTCATTTGTCGGACCCCCAATATTGGACCACTATAGCATATGACACTTTAGGCGCTCTATCCATTTCGTCCGCTTATGTTGATTTACCATTTGCTATTTCTCCTGATTTAGATCCACTCGACTGGAGTGGTGACACAGTGCGCGAAGTAGGTGCAATTTTGCACAGCTGTAGAGCCTAGTGTCGCAGTGGCGTGTTGGTAGCACAGGGCCAAATGACGAGAGGTTCAATTTTTATATGCCTTATGACCTGAGTAGGTTTTAAAACACAGAAAAAAAACCTTGCTGTTGGGTGTTGCTTCGATTTCGCTTATTTTTATTGACTGGTTCCACACTTTGAAGCAGTGCCGGATTAGCCAAGTAGCAAATGCTACGGGCCCCTCGCTCCATCTGACCGTAATTAAAAAATATCAATTTAGATGGAGCATAAAATATCATTGCATGCTTTAAACGCGAAGAGCTTAGGCTATGCTTCACTTCGACCTGAAATTCTAAAACTCGATTTCGCCACGTTAAATCGTAAAAATAAGTAGGATTTTACGAACTTCTTAACTTTAATGCTCTAATGTTTAATTATATATATTAGAATCGATATAGTACATTTCTACCCTTCAAGCGTCCAGATTTTTTTTTTTTTTATTAATATCCACCAATTTTTATATCAAAACAAAGTTTAATTTCTGCCGAATAATAAAGTTTTTAGCAGAACGATGACTTGCATTTAGGAAAGTGACGAAATTGTTGGTTCACTTCACAATAGAAATGGATGTGGATTTAGGCTTGTTAGAATTAATCAAAAACAACTTGTGAGGAATTTATTCATCTAATTGCATCAAGCATATTGGATTAAATTATTTGCGAAATTAAGAGATGCAAATATTACTCAGTTTCATTTAATTCTGCTCCAGATATATCGCATGGAGACCAACTGACTCTGATTTGTTAAGCTCTTGGACATGGAGGATCATATTGCTCAACAACTCGCTCAAAGTTTGCTAGATTTCTTGAGTAAGAGTGGCATTAATATCTGAGATTGTCGTGGGCAAAGCTACGATAATGCCAGCAACATGAGTGGGAAATACATCGGCTTACAAGCCCGAAATAAGAAAATAAATAAGTGTGCAAAATACATTCCCTGTCTTGCACATTCATTAAATTTGAATGCTAAGTGCGCTGCAAGCTGCTGGACACAAACACCTTCCTTTAGAGCGATTTCATTGAAACGCTCTATAAATTGTTTTCTTCCTGTTGATCTAATCGTCTATAATGAAAAACTTTGATTCTGCTTGTGGATTATTTTTATTTGGTCTTTTACATTTTTTTAAATCAAGTAGAGAATATGATATGTAAATGGCCGCCGCCACAGTTGATTGTCATTTGAGAACTTTATACTTTTCCATCACTTTGGCCAGAACTTCCGCTGATAGGTCCTCACATTCATGGCGGATATTATCTTTAAGAGCTGCAAGAGTCTGAGGCTTGTTGACATAAGCCCGCAACTTCAAAAAGCCCCACAAAACGAAGTCTGGAGTGGTCAAATCAGGCGATCTTGCTGGCAAGTGCAAATCGCTAAAACGGGAGATTTAGGCGCCCGGGAAATGCATCCTTCAGCATATTGGTTGTGGCACGCAGTCTAGCGTACCATTGTGTATTTACGTGTATTTCGCATGTGTTTACTACACAAATGTCAAAATAGAACTGACATTAGAGGTCAATTGCAAAATTTATAGCATCTTCTGATCATCTTCAGACTTTTGCGCCACTAAATTTTTACTAAATTTAGTTTTTGCATGAAATGTAATGAACCCCAACGTGTTTTTTATACAAGTTCATCTGATTCAGATAAAAAAAAAGACATCACCAAATGGCCATAACGTTCAGCATTCGTGACAAAAGTAATCGCATGGCTTTACCTGAAGCAGCGTAAGAAAATTTTTAATTATACTGTTTAACTTAGTATAGATCTAATGATTTTAAATAATTTACAGACTCAGGAAGCGGCAGTAATGATAAAAGAAGTCGGTATAGTCCTGAAAAGATGGCAAAGTTCGGCAATGTATGTGCAGCGTTGCAGCGATGATATAAGACTTAAGTAACTAAAATATATGTGGCAACGCCGTGTTCACCGCTTATAAGCAACCCTTTCCTACGTTTACAACACTATCCTTTAGCAACGCTGACTACCTCTGTCATTCTAGCTGTAAGCAACCCATTTCCCAGAATCCTATCATTCTTCCTTTTTTGTACAAATCGTCTTGCCGAACGGACGTGTACCCTGACAACATTTAATTTTGTGAAATAATATTAAAGTATTTCTAAATAAAACAATAAACCTCCAAAACTGGTGACCCCGAACAAGTGAAACGAATGGAACAGCAAGGCGAAAGCACCGCACAGGCATCTCCGCCCTCGAGCGTACAACCGGCAGCGCAGGCGAATCAACCTCAAGGCATTCTGGCCAGATCAGCAATGGAAGTGCTTCAGCCCGATCTGCATGTGGATACAGCAATGGTTCCTTGCATTAGCCCGCCTAATATGAACGACACCAACATTGAGTCCTATTTTTTGTCACTGGAATTCTGGTTCGCTGCTACAGGTGTGACTCATGATGC